TATTACTGTTAGATATAAATCACAGATAAGCAAGTCTATTCATTTGTAATTTGTAGGGCATTTCATTTAATTTGTTTGATAATTTTGATTGATGATTTTATTTGATGACTTTGATAATTTGATATAATTTTACTTTGATTATTTTTATAAACCGACACAGTTATGATTGATTACATTAATGACTCAATGAATTTTTCGACAACTTTGATCACTTGACATAATTAGTGATAAAAGCGATACAATCGTAGTTTGACATTGACTTTCATTCATATACTTATGCATATATATAGTATTGTACTGCATGTTGATAGTCGTAATAATATGTTTTGATTGCTGTTAATAAGTATCAAATGAAACAATATTGATGAAAATTCAAAATGATCTTTTTTCTCATTTAGCAACAATTATTTCATCATACTCATAGTATTGTATACAAAATGAATTCAATCATTCCTTATGTATGTTAGCTACATCACCACTTGATAATAAGTAAATCTATAATATAAAGGAAGAAGATTAAAAAGATGCAATGATAAACTAAAACGCTGTGTGTGTGTGTGTTTTATTATAATGTGTTAGGACTGAAATGCTGGGTTTTTCTCTTCTCCTTTTTTCATATTTTCGCCGAGGTATGGCTTGAAAATCTGATACCATGAAAACGATCGAGAAGGGACTTAGGGTGGAAGGAAGGAAGATGAGTGGGAATAGTGGAGGTTGGTGATGAAGAGGAAAAGGGGAGTAGAGGAAGGTGGGAGGAAGAAAGATAGTGGAAAAGGACTGGGAGAAAAATTGAAATGGAAATGGGAGAAGAAATGAATTGGTAGATCATGACGGAGGGCGTCTATTGCTACAAGCAAATTATTATTATTATCATCACTATTATTCATGATCATTCATCATCAACAAATAAACAAACAAACAACAATAATAATAGTAATAACAATCAGTCACCAGAAAGAAGAAAAGCCATCTAAACAGACAAATTCATTTTCGATCTCTTCCTCCTCCTCCTCTTATCCTTCTCATCGTGTCGTTGTCGTCCTCCTTCTTCTCCTCTTCTTCCTCTAATCTTTATTTCCTCGACATCGTCCTATCACCGTCATCATTTGATCCAAACCCACCTCCTCTTCTCCTCCTCCTTTTCCCTCACTCATTTTTCTGCCCCCCTCCCCCCTCCCCTCCGTCTTTTATCTCAGAATTTCTTCCTTTTACTACAAAATCTACCATTCGGCTTCCATTGTACTGTGCTATTTCATGCGCTATTATTATCTTCTAATCAATTCTTTTATTATCTTCAAAAATTTCCTTTTTTTCATTAAAAATATTTCCTCTTTTTATTTTTGTTCACCGTAATACTTTCATAATCTCAGATTCGTTTTCTTAGGAGTGAAAGAGTGGAGAGGGATTACGGTAAAAAAACTACGATAATTTTTCTCGAATTTTTCAAAAAATTTTCTTCATTTTTCTTCTTTTTTCTTTCTTTTTTGATTACATAAGGTTTTTCCCCGAAAAAATGATAAAACAAAAACCATAAAAAGTATGGCAGCTGGAAATTTTGCACAGCAAGAAAAGAAAGATGGCAAACTGTAAGAATTATGAAATTATCTGTGAAGTGAGAAAATTTCTCTTTTTTGTCATAGAAATTGATTGGAGTTGAAATTAATTGTACTTCGATTTTCCGGCATCTTAAGAGGGTTAAAATTTCGGAAATTTTTCGAAAAAGAGAAAACAGTGATACAAATAACGATATATTATATTGGACTTTGTATTATCATTTACTTTTGATGAAAACTTTGGAAATATTGAAGAATAATCTTTAAAATCTAAATATTTGGGATACCAACTGTCAGTTGCATTGTTTTGAAATAGGTTCAAATAATTTAAAAGTGTTGAAATTTTTCCCTTCACAAAGAGTATGGTTGCTAGGAAATTTTTATAATTAACATTAATTTTTGAACTATTTTAATTATTTATTTCAAAGTTATCATTTAATTGGACAGAAACGATAACGATTTATTAAATCATATGTAAACGATCAAATTCTAAAGGAGTAACAAAAATTTTAAATTTAGTTGAACTAGAATTTATTTCAAATTAGCCTTAAGCCAATAATTATATTTCAAAATACAACAAAACACTTTCCTAGATGCTTTCATATAAAAAATGTTTCCATATAATATTGATTTATGCGAAGTTATAACCGCATAAATTGTCTGTAAAATATTCAAGATTTGAAATTTTTGAAACTATCTTAGAATTCTGATTACACTTTTTCTTGTTCCTTCACCATTTCTTGTTTTTATCATTTCACAACATTCATTAATCTTAAATTGGAAAAAATTTTTGAAATTGCATTTTATTTGAATTAAACCGAATTTCAACTTTAAATGTTCAAAATTTTTGATTACATCCATTTACTATAATTATTTGCTTCAAACACTATCTATTTTTTCTCTCCCATTTTTTTCACTCATTAGCACAAAACATCAATTAAGCAATAATTACTTTATCATACCCATCCTTTTTTTTATAATTCATCAATAAATAATACAAATATAAAAATGATTGAAGTGAATTTTGCAAGGAACGACGAAATATTTGGATATTTAATGAAAACGATGAGAATTAAAGATGAAGAAAAAAAAAAGAAAAGAAAAAGAGATGATGATTAAATGCTATTGTATTGAAATTTTTAGTAAAGTATCCATTTTCAATCGCAATCTCCCACTTCTATTCCATCATCAAATGATGGATTATGATACACTTCAGAAATCATTCCATTCTTTCTTCCAACTATCTATCCAATCCTCATCTACCACTTTCCTCTCTTTTCAATTTTTGTCAACTACATATGTCACCATATACTTATTATATTCCTTCTACTCAGTCAATCTTTTCCCATCTATTTCACTCTCTACCTATTTCGTTTATACAGGTGGCCTACCTATTTGTATTGCTTATATTAATACATGCATGTCCCTCTCCGTCTGTCTCTTTGTATTTTCTCTTCTTTCGTCACACACATGCATGTATGGAAGTATCGGTGACACCATTTCGTAGATGATATGCAAATTAAGGAAGATTAGTTCAAGTTATGAAGTACCTCAGAAGAGTGAGTAGTGGTGATAGTATTACGTATATAAATGTATGAGTATGTTGAGATTTGATGCTTAAGAATTAACCTCGGACAGAATATAATATAATTTAATTAAAAAATAATGTTTGAAATTACTTGATACATTTCATTTCATAATTTTTTTTAATTTTCTGATGTTAATAGAATAGAAGTACTGCATTTCTATTGCAAAATTCCTGTTTAACAATAATTTAATTTAAAGTAATTAATGGATTAATGCGAAACAAAAATTATTTGGTTAAAAAATGATATTTTCTTATTCTTTTTCTGTTTTTGTTTTATTTCATTTTATTTTTTATTCATTTATTTTTTGTACTACTATATTTGATGTAAATGTAAATACTACTGTCAGTTTGAAATAATTTGGTGAAACAAGTTTTTTTTTGGTTAAGAATTTTGTTTTATATTTTAAATGGAAAAATAAAACGAATATGACCGATGATTACTAAGCATTTGGAAATTTTAATATCTGTTTATTATGAAAACTTCTTTTCTCTCATGCTATTTGAGCAAATATTTACTGGTAATTGTTTAACAATAATATTTATTAATATGCAAATTTAACCTTTGATTTTTGTAGTTCCAGTTCATCTGTTACAGTACATTCGTTACGGTACTGCATGTTGCAATATTTCTATTTCGAGTTTTTTTTTTTTTGAAAATTTTCTTTGATTATTTTTCTTCGTATAATATTAGGAATGAGGACATAATACAATATTGAATCAAAATATAATACCAATAAATCAAATTTAAGAAAAAAAAAAAGAATATATATATCGTTTGGTAAATTGTTTAATTTTATCTAACCAAAGATAAGAAAATTTGCCAAGTAAATTCATAGCCAAATAATAATAAAAAGAAGGATAAATAATTGCTGACATATAAATATTCCAATAATTACAAACCATTTCGTTTTTTCTTTTAAAAAAACTAATGCAAGTCAGTTGCTTAAGTTGCTTAGATTGCGCAAAGCTATTATTTCAACATGCAAAAAGGCATTTTTGGACATTTTTATGTTTATTTAGATTTTTTTATAATTTTTATCAAATGAAAAACAAAAAAAAAACACATGAAAATAAGAAGCGAGAAAAATAAAAAATATAATGCAAAAAATCAAAATAATGAATTGAAGTTTTTTTTTTTTTAAAAAAAAAGCAAATTTTAATTCAAGAGGAAGAAAATTTTAGTCCAAATGTTTTTTAATATTAGAATAATGTTAAATTTTTCCGTTTAAGTAAATTTTTATTTTTTCTTTTGCTTAATTTTATTCCTTTTTTTACTTCGTTTTTGTTTTTGATTGTTTAATGAAAATCAAATATTTATCGATGTTTTCTCTCGTTTTTATTTATCCAAATCATATCAGAACACCAAATAGCATAACTTTCTTTCTTTTCTCGTTTGCTTCCGTTAAAAACGAATTATTCAATCTTTTTTACTAATTCCTAAATTCTCATCATGCTTTAGTTTGTGTTTATTGAACATTATTATTCTACATGCAAAGAGCAATCTATCCCAATTCACTAGCATCTTCGTCATTATTGATAAATTCTTAAATGCAAGCAAAAACAGATCAGCTAGATAAAGGGGAAAAGCAAAAAATAAGTAAGTGAGACAAGTAGACAAATACATAAACTTAAGGTAAATTAATGATGATAGTATTGTTTATTAGTGAAGTAATGAAGAAGGGTACTGCTATGATTAATTAATTTAAATTTGCTGTTTTATTAACTTCTATTCTTTCAATTTTTTCACTTTTTTCTAGGAAGTGAAAGTTGCGAAAACGAATTGTTAAACTAACCAAGCTAGTGTGAAATATTATTATTCCTTTAAGAAAAAGAAACAACGCCAGGAAAAGCATCAGTTGATGTCCTCGGGGGAAACACTACCTCAAGCATTAAACAGGTCATCATCATCAGCATTTGTTACTCATCAAATTTCGAACTTTCCATTGTTTACTCAATTAACTCAACAGCAGCAACATCAACAACATCAACAACAACAACAACAACAACAACAGCAACAACAACAACATTATCTTCATCGTCATCACTATCATCCATTTCAACAACAGTATCATCAATCATCATCGACCACTACCGCTATTAATAGCTACAGCAATAATAACAGCAACTACAACAATAACAGTAATAGTGGTACATCACCGCAACAACGTATTAAACTGAAACGACAACGACAACGTGTTGACGCCGGTGAACCACGTAATCCTTATCAGGTACAATAAAAAAAAAATTACTTTCATCATTTTTTAAGTTCAGAGAGAGGAAATGATAGTAAAAATACAGGTAAGGTTTATGAGATGTTTGAATTTTTTACAAGACACAATCTCAGACAATAGTAAAACTAATCAATATTTCTGCTTTCATACTGTATTTGCTGAAATATAATAGAAATTTTATGTTACAAATTTGGTAATACAATAACATTTTGTATTACTAGAAAAAAAAAACAAATTTTATTGTCCAGTAAATCTTATAGGCAACACGCATACCGATGCTCCAACAGCACCAACAACAACAACAGCACCAACAACAACATCATCAACAACAACAGCAACGATATGCGAATGATTTGCAGCTCAGCAATGTTATTAGAAAGAATAATAATAATAATAATAATAACAATAATAGTATTGCATATACAACAACAGCAACAACAGTAACAACTCAAAATAACAACGTCAATGTTGCCTTAAGCAGTATATTCCCTTGGATAACGACTACGATAACAACAACAACAGCAGCAGCAATAGCGGCAACAACAACAACAACAACTGCTCCTATTACAACAAGGCAGCAAAGATTTGAATCATCGTTTAATATCATGGAGCAAATTAGTGATACAGATGATTTTGTCCAAAATCTTAGTCAACAACAAAACATTAACAATAATGAACATCAGGTAACATTGAGAATTATTATTATTATCATTCCTGTTGCTATTTTTTTCAGAAAAATCAATCTTATTATTTTAATTAGCATTGTTTTTTATTTCTTTTGTTTACACTTAATTATTCTTTTTTTCTTTTTTTGTTTTAATTACTTTTTTCGCTTTTTTTGCAAAATCATTTTTATTGATTCATTAGTTTACTTGCTCTTGACATTTTTTTTATCAATTTACTGTGATTTACTTCGCCCATTTAACTTTTATTTTTTCTCCTTCATTTTTTATGTAAATATAAAATTTAGAAAACAATAACCTTATTCTTATCATACCGTAGACAAAGATTTAACAACAATAACAGGGAACCATAATACACATTTCAGATTAAACGCAAAATCTGTTTTTTTTTTCTGTAATATTTTTGTAAACAACTTCTTTCATGCGGGATTTATTATTACTTTTATTTTATTTTTTTGTTATATTTCATTTCTCATTAATGATTGGATAGAAGAAAGCGAAAGGTGGAGTTTCACCTTTATTGTTTATGCTTCACTTTCAAATTTTAGGTTTTTTTCCTTTTTCTCCTAACTGTTTAATTCGCTCAAAAAATTAAGTTTTTATCTTTGTAAATGCCTTTCATAATATTAATTTGCCTTATATTTGTTAAAAAAGTCATTTTTCACATTTAAAAATTTTATGTTTTACCATTGTTTGTTTAAATTTTCATTCATTTATTAAGCAAATAATTTTTTCTAATTAAAATTTATTGTAACATTATTTTTTCTTTTTTTGTTTTTATTATAAAATAAAATGAAAGCAACATGGTGAATTTGAATTATTTGACTATTAAAATGTATCACTTTACAACTCATTGTTTCAATATTTTGGTATATTTCAGGAATTGTTAACATCAACGATGTCACATGTAAATAATGATGTTAAAGCTAACGATTATAAGAATGAAGCGTTAGCTACAATCATTAATCCAGCTAATGATGATGATGAAACAATTACAATGACTACTGATGAGCAACCATTTGGGTTAAATGCTGCTGATGATAATGACGATGATGATGATGATGGCGATGATGATGATGATGATACATCATATCTAAAAGTTGGTTTGATTTTAAGCCACTTATTGATCAGTTGTGTTTACTAATTCACCGGAATTATGAAAATATTTTTAATAAGAAATAAGATGAGCAAATTATTAAAAAAAGACGACAAAAATTGTTGGTAACAATAACATTAATTTATTACTAATCACTATTTATTACAATAGGAAGAAAATAGTATGAGTGAGACAAGCCCAACTCCAAGCGCATCATTTACCGGTGGTGGTGGTGGCGGTGGTGTTGGTGGTGGCGGTAACGGTGGTAACAGTGGTAGCAGTAGTTCATCAAGACGTAAAAGTGCTGCACCGCAACGACAACCGATTGATATCGATGATGAATGCAATCCTCAAATTGGTTTGTTCTTATTATTACCTATTCTTTTTTTAAGCTTTCTCTAAAATTTTTAAATTATTTTAAAAGTATTACAAAAATAAAATATCGATTTTTTCCAATTGCTTTAATAAATCTGGAATTTTTCCAAGTGCTTTAATAATAGTGTAAAATTTCCAAAAAAATTTAATTTGGTACTTACATTTTTAGTCATTTTTAGAACAAAATGAGGATGTGATGGAAGATAATAAGACAGTAAATAAAGCAAATATCGAAAAATCACCTGAAAGAAAAATGGCTAATGAAACACCGAAAAATATTTTAGCTGCTAGTTTAGCTGCCAATATTCACCCACAGGTATATACTTAATTTATAATGGAATTAGTTGACAAAAAATTGTAATCGTAATTGATGAACACCTAGTAGTTGTTGCATGGCTTTTGAATAATTTCAATAATTTTTGTTTTTCTTAGATATCTTAAATACTGCTTTATTTATTTGCTTTTTTTCTCATTTTGCTTTATTCTCTTCAATATTTTTGTTTACAGAACAGGATACAAGAAATGATTGATATACAAAAACGAATTTATTCGAACTGGATTGAACAACAGAAGAAATTATTGGGCGCAAATGATGAAGAGCAAAAACGAGCGCAAATTCAACTGATACAACAACAAATTCAGCGGGATTATGCTAAATTAGCACAGTCATTAAAACAAGAACTTATCAGTGGATTAAATAGTAGCGTTGATAAGGTATTGCAATACTATTGTAATTTGTTAAGTATCATTTAAAATTTCATTTTAATTAGAATAACGCAGCTAAAAAATTAGGTAAAAAGTGATGTGAAGTAACATTCTGAATTAGATTATTATTAGATTTAACGTACAGTTAAAGGATTTCTTCATTTCTGTAAGATTAATTAGGTATTTGGAGTTAAATCTAAACGGTTGTATAGTTATTAGTGGAAGACTTAGAAGTAAGCATGATATGCCATATTTAATTCGCAGCATTAGCTAACAATCGCTGAAACTTTTAGTTTTTAGTACGTCATCTATCACATGACCATTTATCATTCCCTTTGCGTGCATCATAACAACGAAATTTGCACATAGACTGATTTTAAAGAATTAATTTCAGATAATAGCTGAATTCATAGCTGCAGAAGCAGCGATCAGCGCGCAACGTACAACTGCGGCACTTGTGGAGCAGCAACGTGAACAAGCAGCAGCTGTTGTTGTTAATCGAAATCCATTCCTCTTCCATCCTCTGTATCATTCTTTTAACGGTCAATCTGGTCCTTTTCCGAATCCCTTTATACAAAATAGCCTACCATTACCGCCACCATCACATCATCCGCCCGGTATTTTTCCAGCTGCTTCCGCTCCTCGCACAACTTTCAATCCGTTTGTACCACACTTGAAAGCAGCATCACCAGCCACTGCAGCTTTTCGCAAAATAGATGATTTGAGGTGCGAATATATGTTTCGCCTTTAAAATTTCAATTCTTTTCCCAAGAATTTTAGTAAATTTATTTTCACTTATAAGAGAATTGGGAGAAAAAAGCTTTATATTTTTTATTAAAATTTTCTAAATATTTTGTAGTTCATTTGCGCCACGAAAGAAACGATCCAAAGTGACAGATTCATCACGGATCAACAAAATTCAACCAATAGCTGCTGCTAATCGTGAAGTATCCTCACTTCCAAATAGCGCCCGATCCTCACCACAAGTAACATACATTTTTTTACTTATTTTTTGAAAACTTAATATTTAAAAAAAAAAAAAAAAAAAGACGGAAAGACAGTTTTAAGACTACACAATTTATTATTTTAATTGTTTGCATTATTTTTTATTAATTATCAATCCATTAATTTACTCTTTTTTAGAGTATATAACTATTATAATCTTTCAAACATGCAGATCCCTTTCAGCTATCATCATATTTTCCACCAACAATGGTTGGTCATCCATTATACGGTGGTGGTACATTTGCTGCTGATGATCGGGATAGTCCGATCAATTCGGATGATGCAAGCGATTGTGGACCATATGATGGAAGTATCGGTGGAAGGTTTGTTTGACGCCAATATCTATTAAAGTAAAGCAGTAAAACTTCTGTTCTTCTTGCAAAATTCATTAAACTGATTGAGTAATTAAATTAATTAGTCCATTAAATTGACTTTTTAATAAATTGATTAAAATTCAGCTTCAAAAATGCAAACAAAAAATGCACAAATTTTTAGTTCAACTTTAACACCGATGCATCTACGTAAGGCAAAACTAATGTTTTTTTATACACGTTATCCGAATTCAGCTTTATTGAAGTCGTATTTTCCGGATATTCGTTTTAATAAAAATAACACCGCACAATTGGTTAAATGGTTTTCGAATTTCCGGTTCGTTACGTTATTATTCATCATTAGATTAAATAAAATGCGAATTTTAATCACAAGCTTTTTAGTTAATTGATAAATTTTTTGTAAAATCCTTTTTTCCTTTTCTTTCGTTTCAAAATATCAAATTTGTAAAGATGAAAAAACAAAGATGAATAGTTTTTCAACTGAGCTTTCGTTTTTTTCTTTTTTTTAACTAACAGTCATCTAGTTATATCTATTTCGTCAATCGTATAAGATTTCAATTTTTGCTTTGTCATCAATTTTCTTATCATTTGCTAATTCATGAATATTTTTAGCAAAATTTTTTATCGAAAATTTTAGCTATTGAAATGATGTTAAATGATAAATTCTTATTATGTTGGATGTGTTTGCTTAATTTTTAGAATTTAGATTAAAAAATACCATTTTAATAAGTCAACAAAATGAAGGATTAAATCTATCAAAGACATGTAAACGATAAAGATGAAGAACAATTGTTGTATATGCAAAATAAATTATAATCAAATCAAAAATGATATTACTCTACGATTTTACTTTAGTGATATTCTCATTTCTTATTTTACACTTTGACATTTTGTCATTTTTTCCTAAAATTTGACCACAATCATTATTTATATAGCAGTACTTTAACATATATCATTATTTTGATTAATTAGATGTACAATTATCAATTTATTTTTATAAACTTTTACCTTTTAACCAGACACTTATTCAGTTAGAAATGATTAATTTTTGTTATTCTTTTTTCTGTTTTCGTTTATCATTTCTATATAATTATTAATGAGAAGATATACATATCATTGTTTACAAATACTGCCCACTTAATTCATTTGAGTATTTTTATGATGTATCTATTGCGATAGTAAGATCAAATATTCATTTACTGATAAATTCTATCTTTACAGAAAAAAAATGACGAAGCAATACTGTAAGTATGTATATTACTTATTCATTATTTATTTGTTTATCTGAGTATATAATATACTTGAGAGTCGAAAGGACAGGTGTACGATAATAGAAACAGGTGCTTTTCATAAGTTAAGAGGGAAAATTGACGAAATATTGATGAGAAAGGAAAGAAAAAAAAAAAATGTAAGGTCATCTAAAACCGGTTACTATTTTATAAACAAATAATTGGCGCGTTCGTCCTCATCCGTTAGGATCAACGACGAATATGTTTGTTTAAATTGTCCCATTTGCCTCGAAATGTAATTTGACACTTGATTATCATATAATTGATGATGATGAGGTGATGAGATGATGATGGAAGGAAAAGAAAAGAAAGGCAGGATAACGATTTGATAATAATGGTGAAATGGGATGATGATGATGATGAGGTCGTATCAGGTCATCAACCTCCTTTCTCTTACCCTAATACATTTGAGAGAGCTTATTTAACTGTTTATAATTCTAATGGATTACTGTAACTTTGATTTTTTTCTCTTTTGAAATCAAATTTTCAATAACTTTTGTAAAAATAAAATGCAAAAATTTTATTTATTTAATTACTGCAATAATATGAAAATTTGACATAAATTTTAATTTTACCTTTAATCTCATTTTCTGTGTCTTTCTTTTTATCATTTTTTCCCAATATTGTTTAATACTTTTGTACTTCTTTTTACTTCAATATTTGGTAATTCTTCTAAAATTTTTTTTATTATTCATATTAAAATATTTTCTTCTATTTTTGTATTTTTTTTCTTTTGCCTTAACTTGAAAGTAAGCAATTAGATAATCTGAAAATAATTTTACATTAAACTGAAATTCATACATTTTGCTATTTACTATCAATCATTATTATAGTACACTTAATTTCTCCGCTCTTTTCATCAGTGTTCACTTAACCATTAATAGGTCTAAATTTGAAAAAGCGAAATAACTGAATGAAAATTATTGTATTATTCTGTCTGTTTATTAATTATTATTTCTGTTTTTTTTTTTTTTTTTTTTTTTTTAAATTTTTTCTTGCAGGGAATTTTTTTATAATCAAATGGATAAATACGCAAGGAATTATCTAGCTGAAGGGATCAAGAATAAGGATGATATTATTGTTACACCAGAATCGGAAATTTATAAAAGTCTCAATCAGCACTATAATCGTAATAACCATATTCAGGTTAATTAGTTGGAAAATATTTTTGAGTAAGAAAAGTATCATATTAAGTAAGAAAAATATCATATTTGGTTAATTAAGTATGATAGCTCATTGATTTTAACAAGGAGGAAGGATTTTTACTAGTGTGCGATTTTACGATAATTCTTTTACCAGAAAAAAATTGCACAAAGTTACTATTAATGTTTTTAGCCATAAATTTATGCTTTTTAAGTTTATGCAAAATTATTTGTTAGAAAAATTTTAGTGTGTTTACACCATTTTCTTTTTTTTTTCAAAAAAAAGGTTTAAAAAATTGAAACGAAATCTTAACAACAAAACAGAAAAAAAGATGATACATTTGGTAAGTCTCGAATATTCAATTATTGCCCTTACATTTCAATAAATTTTAATAGAATTTATTAATTTGCAGCCACCAGAACGGCTATCATTGGTAATACAAGAAACATTACGTGAATTTTTTTGTGCTGTACAAAGTGGACGTGATGCGGAGCCATCTTGGAAAAAGACAATTTATAAAGTAATTAACCGAATGGATGATCCAATTCCGGAATATTTTAAGGATCCTAATTTTCTAGAACGTTTGGAGGGCTAAGAAAGAATTTTTGTCTCTCCAAATGCTTCCTTAACTAACAAAATGTTTCATTTTATTTTGCGGTTGCTTTTTAATTTTTATTTCAATTTATATTATTTGCAATTTTTTTTTTTTTTTTGTATAAATTTGAAGAAAAAAGCAAAATTGAACTTGGATTTTTATTTTTTTAAATTTTGCAAAGCTTGTCAAATAAAAAAAAGTCTCTTTTGGGAATCTGCTGGAATAATATTTAACTTACAAGTGTGTAAATTGATAAATGCATAAACATTCTAGTTTTTTTTTCGTTTTTTTTTTTTTTTTTTGAACAACAACAATAAATTTTGAAAAAATCATATGCCATTATACTATCAAGATCAATAATTTAAATGCTGCATGACTGGAAAACTTTTTAATTTGTGAATCTTTAAGTTACTTAAATTAAAATTTGCTTAAGTTGATTAAATCATTTTCAATTCCTTTCTTTTTCTCCTACACCCCTTATTACTCTTTCTCCATCTTAACTCTTTACAAAGGATTTCACCCATATATATATAATTATGTACTTTTTTTTTAGGGAAATTTTCTTTGTTTAAACGATGAAACATTCTAACTTTTTTTCTTTTTTCTTGTTCAAAATCTTTCTTTCAATCATTTTCATTTAGTAAATGATTTTGACTTTACCAAACGGAATGATTTCATATACGTGTGTGCATGTTGTGTGTGTGTATGTGTATGTGTATAGATGTGTGTATAAGTGTGTGTGTGTGTGCATGTGCGTAAGTATATAATATGAAAATTTCAATTAAAATTCCGGTCATCTTTACTATTTTCAACGGAACGGATTTTCCCTGAAATAAATTAAACTGATCGAAGCATAAAGGAAGAATAATTGAACACAAACAATGAATGGTATTTATTGAAGAAGAAGGAAACGAATTGAATGATGGATTGTGCCATTCATAAAGTAATAATAATATGTCTCACTTCTATATCGTAGCATAAAATTATAATATTTCTTTGCTTTTCTATATTTCCTAGACCTATTTCTTTCTTTCATTTTCAAGCATTTAAGAATTTATTGAAGCGAAACAAAACGGCCACTTACTTTATGAAGTAAAATAGGATATTTCGAAATTTGATTGAAAATTGAGAATTAATCTGCAAATTATCTGAGAATTTGCTGGAAAAATTTATCTTAAATATATAGATAAATCGACTAATATCTTCCTTATGTTTTCTGCCATGAAAATTTTGGTTTTATATTTGTTTTTTTTTTTTTTTTTTTTTAAAAAAAAAGGAAGAGAAAATGCTTAATTAATAAAAAGAAAATTATCAATGATATTTTATTTTGGGCAAGAAAAAGAATACTCCAGTATCAAAAATTTTATTATTAGTTGTTTTTTATCATGGATTAAAAATTTTTTGATTTTTAATCTTTACTTAAATTATATTCACGTTATTTATTAAGCTCAAATTGTTTATCAGAAACCGTTCAATTTTCCATGACCGTTAATCTAATTTATCAACCACAAAATTATCATTTTGGAAAAAGGAATACAAAGAAATAATTACCGATAAATTTCCCTATATTTTTTCTTGAAGTCGACCATATCAAAATCATGATCAAACATTAAATTATCATTTGAAAGATCACAAACTGTGATAGTATGATCTAATACCGGTAAACCACATACAGGCGTATACACTCATTCACTCCAGAAAAACGATTCATATTTTCAATTACTTTATCCAATTATTTTATCATATTTATCCTGTTATTAATTTCTAGCACCTCAAATTATTGAACCAACTAGGGAGAGCAATAATAATAATAACAATAATAATCTTTGTGTAATTAATAAAAACTAGCCTAAGTTGTGCATAATTTTGTTCTGTTTGATAGCAAAAAGCTATTTTATATTAAAAAAGAAAGAACAGAGTCTGTTGCAAAGAAAGAAAGCAAAAAGCAATGGTAATAATTTCAATTAAAACAAAAATTAAATGAGAAATATTTAATAAAAAATAAAAGAAAGAAATTAAAAAAAAAAAATGAAATTAGTGAAGTAATTACCACATAGAAAGTACAGATGAAAAAAAAAAAACTGTTTACAAACGTATTGAAAATGAGTAAATTTTAAGTTTAATTTTTTTTTTTGAAATCTTTTGGAAAAGTGAAAATCATTTGATAGAATGAAGTTCAGTAATTGGCGAAATTTCATTTGAATTTGAAAATTCACTGCTGACTGTTCGAGCTGTCGAACTCTTCCCATTATCGTTTTCAGCATTGCTGTTTTCATCGTTATAATCAATATCACTACTGATATCTGATAATGTTTCCGGATTACTTTCACTTTTGATTGCATGGCTAGAATTTCTCCGTCTTTCGGTTGTCAAATTTCTGTAGTTACAAGAGAAAAAAATTTTGATACATACCAATTTGCTGTGATTAAACTGCTATTAAAAATAAGAATTCAAAACAAACAAAAAATAATACTGAATTGGGTATATTAAATTAAAAATTTATAACTTCTTTTTAAAAAATTGAAGAAGTAAAACTTGATGAATTTACTTACTTTTTTAATTTTCCAATTGATTGTCTTGCAGTTGAACCGGAATTATATTCACTTATAGTTGCTTTCGGATTAGAGCAATTGCTATTTTTGTCACTGCTTTTGTTGTTAATCGATTTTTGTATTAAATTTTGATTTGTTGATTTTGTTAAAGACCCACAATTATTTAACATTGAAACGTTAGAAATATTTTTGTCTAAAAATAAATAAAATTTATTAATACAACAGATTTTGCTTCTTTTCAATCCTAAAATTTGTTTACAAAATTCAAAACTACAATTCCCAGAAAAAAAAAATTGAAAATAATAAGTTTAGTAGAGAAAGAAATATTTTCAGTAATGAGATGACAATAATAGCTGGACAGAAAATAATTGCATTAAAAAACAGAAACATAACGAACTTATAAATGATAATCTGGCACTGATCGATCGTTTATCTGATCGATGTGATGGAATAGCGGACATTTGACACAATCGTTCCATTTTCTGCTTCGAATTTTTGGATGCATCGCTCAGTTTATTAGATTTTTTCGCATGCATCTTTTGTTGCATTATTTGTTTAGTAATTAACTGATCTAATTTACGTAACAGTTGTTGCTGACAAATAGAATTATAACTATTTGATCGATTACAGAAAATATTTGCATAACAGTGACTTCGAGATTTATTTGATCCATTCGTAATTCTTGGCTTGTTGCAAAATCTTTCTATATTCAATTTTGGACAATCATCGATTAAATTAGGCAATTTCATAGGTAACCTTTGACATTTAGCTTTATTGAAGCACTCCGTACTTTTCTTCATTGGTTTCTTCGATAGATTATTTCGCTTTCTAGATGGACTACTGAATTGATTTGAATTCTCACCAGCAACTGATAGCTTATTGCCTCAAATTGATTGGCAAAAATAAATTTCAACAAAACATTAATAGATTACTAAACAAATAAAGCATATTACTAAAACAAATGGAATAAAATTAGGTAAATCGTTAAGAATTAGATTTAAAAACATTATGAACTAAAAATGATTATAATTAGACCTTTGTTATTATTACTCTTATTATTATTATTCTAATAATGTTATTATATTATTACTATTATTATTAATTATTATTTTCATCACTACTGTTGCTATTATTGTTGTTTTACAGCTTAACGAATAAAAATACTATTACTAAGATATACCAGAATGTTTTCCTAATTGTCGGTTCTTTTCGTTGACAGCCAAAGCATGGCTAATTATTTCAGCAATTATTTCTGTCAACTGTTGCCGAGAAATTCTTTTAGAAAGTTGAACAGCTGCATCCTTCATTGTGACATGTTTTGCCTTTTCCTTTACCTGTGTCTTCTTGTTCTTCAATTTCTGATCTTTCGTCGAAAAGTGGAAAATAATTAGAAATAAGCAAAAAAAAAAAAAAAAAATTAGAAGGCAATTTATTCTATAATTAAATCAAGACTAATAATAACTGCAGTTATTTCTAATAATGCACTAATGCACTGATAAATTTATAACAGGTTCCTCATTAACTTTTCAAAATAAAAATTAGTTAATTAAAACACTAAAAGCTTTGACTTATTGCATCTCTCAATTGAACAAATAAATTATGAAATTTCCATTTCAAATGAGTGTGTCAACAATATTTATGCAATGAAATCTATGCATTCTCTATATGGTACTACTTTTTAAATTGGTAGTAATTATTTTTGACTTAATGAAAATTAATTGTTGTCAAAATTTGCATCCAATTAATAAACAACAATATGCGAATTATATTGAACATTTTCATTATCGAATTTCATTTCTGTTATAATGAAATTCAAATTGTTTTGATTTCCATTTTTATTGCGTTCACTTATAATTTATATAATAAAAAACAAACGAATTTTTTTTAAAAATTTTTTACTTGTATCGCAACGTGTCGCATTGTCACACTCATTTGAACCTGTCGATTCATCCGGCACCAGTCCGTTTGAGTATTCCTGTTAACAGCAAGAACACTACGGTGAAAAACTGTGGGATGGATGCGATCTACGTTAAAAATACGCATTGCAACATGCACATGCAAATTCTTTGATGAATTATCCAATAGATATAACTTCATAATTCCTTTGCAGTTTGCCGTATCCTTAAAATAACTGAGCAAATGAAATTTGAATAAAATAGATGTGATTTCTTTTCAATAGTGCTAAAAATTTAATTTAATAATTTTTAAATATATTGATATACAGGAAAAGAATTGTTAAGTGTAATTTTATTGCAGAATATTTTTTGAACAAAACAAAAATTGATAAGTTATTTTGACATATTTAAGAAAATTTGGGAATTTTCTCCATTCATATCACATTTTACTTAATTTTGTACATAATTCATATCGTATAATTTTTACAATTTTTTCATATAAGTGAATAAAAAGTAAATGACAAAAAAGATTTACTTTGGTTCTACAGAATGACCCTAAGCTAACATTACATGAATAAATCGACTGATCGTTACAGATCGCGCGAACACGAAGATTGCCGGTGATCATTTGATTCAAAAAGTTAGCCTCATTAATTAGGTAACATCTTTTACCAATATTATTCCAACATCCTACAAATAGTTTTGTAAAATGCTGTATTTGGATTGATACATCGATTTATCGATTTTTGTTTCATTTAATGTGAATTTTGCTTAGATTAAAATTTTAATATTTATTGTTAAACTTCACTCTATAACAGTGCAAGAAATTTAAATATTTTGGACAAATAATTTTTGAAATTTAACAAGTTTTGATCATGAAGAAATCAAAATTAAATCTTTCATGAAATCAAAGTAAATGAACTATCCGTGTGAAATAGTAAACCATTCGTAATCATTAAATTTGATTTCCAGTGATCGAACATTTGTCGAATTTGATATCATTTCAATGGATTCGATGAAAAATTCGAAGCAAAATAGGCTTCTGTCCTCAGACGATGACATTCTTCTAAATAACAGAGCCATAGATGGCATTTCTGTTGCCATGGAAGCATAATTTATTGATAAATGCGATTGGGTGCAACTGAATAATGAACTGAAAATGTGATAAGCAAATTTGATATGTAAGTAACACATATTAATATCTGCGATGGACAGTTGGTGATAAAAGTTCCTATAACTTTCTTGTAGTAATAATAATAATAATTACAGTAATAAATATTATTAATGTTGTTATTGTTATTACAATTTCAAGATTACTCTTCTTCTGTCATCTTATGATTAGAATGACAAGTAGGCTGATAAAATTTATTACCGAGATTTGTCAGCTCAAAAAATGTTGCTAAACTTTTAGAAGTTATAGCTACATACGAAATATTTATTAGAAATATCTGATTAGTATGTCTATATATAAATTGAGTTGTCATAATTTATTAAGTTTGTCACCTTTTGCAAACCTAATTTATCATTATGTATTTTTATCATCTGCTGCACTATCAGTACTATCAGTATTGCCAAATAAATATGGTAGGAATTAAACAAAAGAGAAATATTGCAGCAAAAGATGAAATAAATTCACTAAAAATTAAGAAAAAAAAGAATGAAAGGGAGAAAAAGAAAGAACGAAAAGATGAGAAAGAAAAATTTTTAATAAAAAAAAAAAGAGATACGGACGGTAAAAAATGGTAATAGAGAAAGGGTAAAGAAGGTAAATTAAAATTAATGTATTTATTACAAAAAAAAAAAGATAAAATATAAATGACACGAACGTAAAATAGATGAAAATGGTTGACCGTAATTGAATATGAGAACTGGTTTTTTTGCCATTTTAAATCATTGTCAATCGTTAAACTCTACCAAAATGTGCTTTTGCAATCGTTACTTTTCAATTACTTCCATCAAAAAGTCCTTCTCATTTTTCAATTCTTTCATTTTTTCTTTCTCAATTTTCTTCTCAGTTAATGTTTTAAATTAGCCTTTTATCATTCTTAAGATAATTTCATTGTTTCTCTTACTTTTTCTCTCGTTTTTAAAATATTATCACTTATTATCAATAGATCATTATTGATTATTATATTATCTTGAACAATTATCAGAACACCATTACCATTAATATATCTTCTTTTTTCTTTCATTGTGCGTTATCTAATGCTTTAACGAATATAGTGATATTTTTGAGATAAAAATTTTGCACGAACTTTTGTCATGCTTCTTTACAAACTTTAATATTATCAGTATATTACTAGCCTCATCAAAAGTATTGATACAAATGGACTGAGTTGATAAGATGTTATAGATTTTAATTTTTAATAAGCAACTTTTTAGGTAAAGTTTTTGAATAAAAAGAAAGATTGATAGTACTGAAGCAGGCCATCTTTTAAAAAATTAAAGCAATTGGAAAAAAAAATTGGGGAAATTTTAAAACAAAATTTAAAAAAGACGAAATGATACCAAATCATTTTTTTAAAACAAGATTTGGTAGTAAATGGAAAGTGCCTTTTCTATTCTTTTCTCCTCATTTTAACTAGTTAATATTTATTTGTTAGTTAAAGTTTGATTCTTATGAACTTAATATTATCAAGTTGAAAATATTACAACTATGTAAACATGTGTTTTATAATTTTTCTTATCAAGTTATTCAGTACCGCAACTGATAACGCTATCATTTTGACAGCACTGATAAATCAAATTAAGCAAAGCAAAAATTAAAATTCCTTAGTTTCTGCGTTTTTTTCTGACTGCATTTTTCAGTATCACTAGTGTTGTTTTACTGGAACCTTAAATTATTCGAATTCAAATCTTTAATAGTAATATGTTCTTTGCTAAATTATTATAAGCATACTTTTAGATATGCTAATCAGTACATAATATTACAAAACAATTATTTCTAATCAGTAAACAATTATAGCATTAGTAAGGCTATAATAATTTGTGCTGTGCAAAATTTCTATTAAAATTTTTCTAATCTTTTATTATTATTATTATTATTATTGTATTTTTTGTTGTTGTCTTTAATTGTATTGATTTTTTCACTGCTTTGTTTTAAGTTGGCAAAAATTTAATTTAATAATTTTGTTTCGTAATATTTCAGATTGAAAGCTGGATTGAATTAAAAAGTTGAAAATATGTTTTACAATATTAATCGCTTCCATATATTTGTCCTAATTACCTGGCAATTCAGTATATTTTTCGCATCACAAATGATTTATCCCATATTTGCAAATTATATTCCACAGTGGCGCTGTTCTGTCAATCAGTCATTTTCCAATAATTGTACCATTTTTCTATCATGTAAAGATAGCATTCAATTCAGTGAGGTATTTCAGTTTGTTTCTTTATCATATTTATATTTATTTAGTTAGGTAATTACTTGCATTCATACACTTTTACTTAACTAATTAGTATTCAATTCATTTTCAATTTCTAATTTATTGCATTTATAAAAAGGAAAAAACACATTCAATACATTTATAGAATATTATTTAAAATGCATTTTTGTTTTTCATTTACTTATTTTCTTGCATTTGTAAGATAATATCTGATATATTTTTATTCAATTAATCAATATTTAGCTATTTTATTGTATTCAATTTCACGTCAGTGAATTATTATCGTCGTTTTTTATTGCTTTAATTTAGATAAATCTTTTTTCATTATTCTTTTTTTTTTCCAAATTCAACAAAGTTTATATAAGACGTTACTAAATGAATTTTTAGGCAATTTTTCGTTGAGTTTTTTAGTTTTTTTACTTTTATTTTTTCTTAAATTTATGAGAAAATAATAAACTTTAATTCTTTTTTGATTTTTTAATTTGGAGATCTTGAAAATTGGCTAATTTATCAAATGTTTAGATTTCAATTACAAACCAAAAATGTAATTTTTAATGCGAAAAAAATTATCATTAATAATTTTTAATCCGTTATTTATTAATATTTAATAATTAAGCTAATGATTTCTTTGATGATTTGTTACTTTGCAAATAACATGACAGTAGAAAAAATAAAAGATTAAATTTTAAAACATACCGCATTTTTTAATTATTCCTATCCATTGCATTCTATAAGTGTTCTTTTATAATATTTTATAATGCTTTTAAAATCAATTTTTATAAATATCTATTATTTGGTAAATAAATATTTGTGTTTTTTGTCAACTAATTGAAAATTTTCAGATAGCATTTTTCTCAGCAGCTCTTGAATATGACTGGATTTGTGGTGCATCTGCATACTGGGCATCATTATTCAGCCAAATACAGTTTCTTGGTGTTTTATTGGGTACAATAATTACGGGAACTTTATCGGATATTTTTGGACGACATCCTTTAGCTTTAATTTCACTCACTTGTGGTATTATCGTTTCCTTCTGCTCAGGTACAATTTTGTGCCATAATTCTGGATTTTCTTTTTTCTTTTTTTTTTTGCACCTAATAAAACTATCAAAAAAGAAATCTGTCATAAAATTTAATTATCATTATACTGCTCTTTGGTTATAATAGTGTCATAAAGTCTTGAAAATCTTTGAAGGAAATTATCATGATTATTACAGTATCGCTGGATGTAATGTCCACAGTATCTTCATTTGAAATGTCAATGTTATTATTGTCCATTTACATTGATTTTTTTTTTTTCTTTTAATTATTTTGCAAGGAAAAAGAAAAAATGATTAAATAGATTTTGTTTTTTATTTCGAGTGATTAGTTTTGAATTTAAATTTTAGGATTAGCACCAAGTTGGGAAATTTTGTTGGTTTTAAGATTTTTCGTTGGCCTTTCCATTGGTGGTACAATTGTGGTAGTATGTACATATGTGATGGAAATGCTTTTACCCAAGCAACGTATGGCGCTCAGAGCCTTTTTCAATTGGGTAATTTAATGTTTTCTAATTTTTTAAGACAGAAAAAAAAAAGAATGAATTAAACTAATTTACAAATGATTCAATTTCTTTCAGAGTAATTTAAGTTAACAATATACAAATGCAAATGCAATAATTATAAATAATAACAGAGAAATAATTAATTTAATTGCAATAACTTTATTAGTATGGTCATATCCTGTGGCTCATTATTGATATAATTTAGCTTATACTTGCCTTTTATCCATTTAAGCTAACTTTAGAGGCCTAATTTAATTACAGCACTTTAATTAAATATGTGCCCTGAAATTTACATCATTAATTTCAATTATACAAAACTATGTCAGCAATATAAATTATGTTTAGTTTCTTTACTTTGGTTATGTATTTTTTTTATTTAATATTGAGAAGACTGCAGATGTAAGATGAGAATATGCAAGAGATTTCTTAGAAAAATAATTAAGCTTATTATGTTAACTTTATGCACATTTATATGACTTATCTTATCCTTTTCAGTTTATATACTGTAATTTCTTCTTGACTATTTGAGATTTGCAAGATATGCAAGCAAATATAATGCACTCACTTAATTATTATAATTATTTGCATTTTACAACATAATTATACAATTAGCGATTAACATGCAATCATTATAGTGAAATAATGTAAATTTAGAAAAAAAATTTAGTGATTCTGATAAATAAATGAGAAAAATTAAACGTTATATGAATTTTAAATAAAAAAAATTGATAAAAAAGCAAGACGTAGATCGTAGGGTATTGCACGACTGATGATGACAACTATATGTTACTTGTTACCGGAATGGCGTCAAGCATCGTTCGGAAATGCTATAGCTGCTTTACCGGCTCTTCTTATTGTCTTTTTCATTTTCCCGGAAAGTCCAACATGGTTACATAGCAAGGTAATTTAATAATATATTTTCGTTTTATTTGCAAACATTTAATGAATTAGATAAAATATTTGTTTTGTATTGTTTTTCTTTTTCTCTTTTAAATCTTTCTTTTGAAATTCACCAATTTTCATTTTAATTTTTGAATTGAAATTTAAAATTTTATAGAATCGTATAGATGAAATGCGTGAAAGTGAGAAAAAGATTGCATGTATAGCTGGCATACCATATGCTGAAGTGGAACATAAAAGGGTAGAAAAAAATAAACGTTTGATTGATGTCATCCGAAATCCAAACTATGCTAAACGGTAAACTTCAATTTTATATACTAACCATTTTTTTTTAAATATTTTAAATAGAAATTTAAATGTCAGCATTCAATTGTGCATTTCCTGATGAATTTTTCATATTGATTTCTCGGGTAATGTTGAGATAATGCTTACTTACTACTGATTGAATTTTTAGTTGAATCAACAGGTCTATCATTTATTTGTAATTAATATTCCCTAAAATTCTTTACCTCAAATTTTTTACCAAACTACCTCGTCTTAATATCATGACAATTTAATATTTAATCATATAACGTATATAAAAGTTAGAAAGACTACTGTCAATTTTAGCGTACATTGAAATTGAATACTCTAATTATTTCTATCATAATATAAAGTAAAATTTAAATTAAGAAGAAAACTATATATAAAGTATTACTAAATTCATTATACCTAAACAGTTATAACAATTTAATATAGCAGCATTAAAAGATGGTAAGCGTAAACTAATCTTACATTTCTTATTTCAATCAATTCTTGTGCACTCAAAAAAAAAAAAAAAAAAATTCACATTGTTAAGAAGAGAAGGATGATGTAAAATTAAAAGTAGCTAAAATTTTTAATGAAAATTTGTGATTAAATAAAAATTCTTATCAAAATTTGTAATTACTTAAAATATCTCATGCCAAAATTTGTAATTGACTACTGGTCAAAGGTCAGAATTGGTTAAAATTCCAAGCTAAAATCTACAATTGATTGCTAATCAAACTTTGTTCACAAAACAGTGGCCAGAAAAAGCATTGAAATATTTATCACAAATAGATGTTATTTAACTGCTCAGATTGTTTATCTTATGGTTAATTTGGTTCACGGCATCATTATGTGGTTATGCAATTGATTTAAATTCATCACGTATAAGTGGTAATCTATTCCTCAATCAAGCATTATTTTCCATTCTTATTGCTGCCTCTAAAGTTTGTTTGTTTCATTTTTTTTTTTTTTTAAATGAAAATGACACAAATTATGTATAGAATCCTAAAGTTAATTTTTAGACAAAAAATCGTACAAAATGTAATTCTTGAAAAATTGATTGAAAGTTGTTCCCATCGTTTATTTCATTTATTTATCTATCATTTTCAAAGCACAAAATCTTAAGGAAAAAGAAAAAAGAGTTGCACCTGAAAATGCAGAAGTAATTGGTATTAAATGATAATGAATAGCATCCACTTTCTTTACTGCTTGTAGATAATACTGGTAATTTATGATACAGTAAATAAAAATTTCAATCGACGTAAACTACATCAATATGCCCAATTAGCTGTTTGCATATGCTTCCTAACATTAACTATTCTTGTTTACCTTCATTATCAGGTTCGTCTATTATTAGCTTTCTTCTTAAAATTACTTTTTATGAATTATTACTCAGTTCTTTCATTTTCCTTAACTATTATTCATTATTCAAATACTACAAATTTTTGGGAGGAAGAAAGGAGAAAATTTCACATAAAAGAATTATTTTTCAAGCAGTTAGAATCAGTTCAGTTTTTCGTCATTATATTTAATTTAAGGGCATTGCTATACTGGTAATTAATTTAATTGGTACAGTATTTATCGAGTATACCTGGGATGCATGTTACTTATGTGCGGTTGAATCGATGCCAACATCAATGCGTGCCTCCTCTCTTGGTTCATGCTCTTTCATTGCTAGGATTGGTGCTTTACTTTCACCAACAGTAAGTTTTCTTTCCTAAGAATTTTGAAAATCCTCCAAAAAGAAAAGAAAAACTATAAGGGATATATTTTTATATTTTACATAAATTCTCAACTTTCAAAAAAAAAAAAAAAAAAAATCCAACATTTTTCAAATATTTCGATTCCAACAAAAATTTTTATTGATTTTCAGATCTTTTTTTTGTCAAATATATGGCCACCATCAGCTTACCTCATTGTTGTACTCGTTGGTGTAATTAGCTTAATTTCATCTTGCTTATTTCTGGTAGAAACAAAAAATATTCACCTTGACCGAGTGGATGAGGAAAGTGTCAGTGTGCAGGAAGAGCAAATACCAATGGTATCAAGGAGACAGTGAGAATATAGTGTTAAAAAGTTTAAATGAAAATGAAACCTTTCCGAAATAATCATTTTAAAGAGATTTACCGAAACGATCCCCTGATGATCGCTTGTTTCCTTTCGAGAAGAGATAACAAACTGAGATCGATTTAGATCAACCGCGTGTAAATATTTCAATAAAATTCAAGCAATAAAGGTAACATTAACGAGTCCATTAACACAATTTCATTAATTGAAATTAAAAAAAGAAATCACAATATAATAGCAGTTATATTCATAAGGATATGAGATGACAATTTCCTCCCAACTTTTTTATGCAAAACAATCTTTCATTTCAAATTTACATGGCATAATCAACAAAATGTTTAATTACACACATCTCTCAGATTATTACTATAGTTCGACAAATATATGATTAAGCAACTATGGACAAGCTGAAAATTGACTTCAAATAGGGAAACGATATATATTGCTCACAACAAACATCACTGAAAAATACATAGCAAATGAACCAAAAATAATAAAAGATAAGAATAAAAAGATCTCCTACAGCAAAACGATAACACTGTTTCATAATGTAATTTCATTTGAAAAATGAAAAGTGTTCAGTGACATAATAATAGTTATGAATCGTAAAAAACGAGGAAGTAAAAAAACCAAAAACAAATTTTCCTGATAAAGACTATAACTTCCAATGGAAGGATCCCACCATAACTAAAGCACAAATATGAATTAACAACAGTACGATATTGTCCAAATGAAAAAAGAAATAATACTAATAATGCTCCAATTTTCAACATTCTCATCAATACAAAAAGAAAAAAAAGAAAAGCCTTTTGGTTAATACTATCATCCGTAAATAAGAAATTAACTTAGGCGTTTGAGCAGTTCAGTAGCTAAAGAAATGAAACTAATAATTAGGCCAAAACAAAAATACCTGAGACATGATTAAGTGGTAGGTCAAGTTCGGAAATATCACCCATCATTGGGAATAACGGAGTGAGATAATACTGAATATGAAACAAAAATGACTGATTGATTTCAAGCTTGATAAAACTAGCGAAAATGTGACATGAATAAAGGAAATAAATTATTGATGGAATTTTAAGAGCGAAAAAAAGCTGCAAATACCACAGTATAACGTTCATGAAAGACCTACATGATGAGGAAAACCTGAATTAAAAAATTTCTCAAACAACAATAATGGAATAATAGATTCGAGAAGAGCACGCATATGGATAATGAAATTGACTTGATTCGACCAAATCCCTATAAGGAACAAACTCCAAACTTTAACCTTAAAATACCTCAAAATTCACCAGCAAGCCTTCATATCGTCTCTTGTTTTCTCAAGAGAAAAAGAACTCTCAAGACTTCATTTTTGAGTTTCTATCATTATTTAGTTTCCTTAAGACTTTTCCTCACTCCTATCATATGTTTTTTACAAATTCACCTAATTAAATAAAAACAGTGTGGCAGGTCTCAAAGTGTTGTTCGTTTACTCATTATTGCTTTCATAGAGTGAATGTCTTCAAAAAAAAAAAAAGTCTAAATTGTAAAAACTTTGTTTACAGAATTTCTGTTTCATTCATTCATCCGTTGTTAATTTTTGTTTGGTTTAAAAGAAATATTACATGAATGCATCCTACCAAGCAGAATCAAATGAGAGTTTAATACATAAATTCTTCTTACGAGTTATGAAAACAGTTTTCGAATCGGTATTTTGGCACTCTGGGTTGCACACAGTAAAAAAAAAAAGGAAAAAACAATGGATAAAGAGTTAAAAATTACATCACATTTAGTAAAGACTGAATTACCGGTCAAAACAAAGGTACTATTATTACCATTAAGTAAAAAATAAACAGACATACAAAGACTTTAATATAATTTAACCTCAACCTTCTTTATCTATCTGAAACATTAGCTTTAAACTTAAGAGACCATCTCATTAACTTATATCTATAAAAATTGAATAGTAGCATTATTCCACCCAAGAATAAAACACATAAGATTAATTCATTACTTGTCAGGAATAGAAATAACTAGATCCTAAAGACAAAGAAATATTAGTAGAGTACTCCGCTTTATTATAAAGAAGAAAGATGAGTTCAATCTGAATTAATAAATTCAACCTGAATACCTACAAGCAAAAAATTACAAAGGAAAAAGAAAAAATTAATACTTGAATCAGAAAGAAACATATATATTCAAAATAATCATATTTGCATATGATTCATTAGCGTAATGCTTGTTTGATAAGAAATGACTTAGACTGACTTGATGTGGTTCATTTTTCCATTAGTTTATTCTAAAGGAATAGAAAAATGTTTCACGTGTAAGGCACTTGGTGAAAGATCAATAAAAAAAGATAACAAATGACATACATCGAATGTGCTATGAATGAATAATATACTTACTTCATTGAACATCTAACCATTTAAAATCGGATTTTGCGCGTATGAGCTTTTTCAAATTCTAAAAAACCTTCCTCCATTTGAGCATCGATATCCTGTAGACATAACATTGCATGAGTTTTAACGACCAGATCTTCATCTTGGTCCAAGATATAGCTCAGCGAATCTGCTATATCATAAAGGTGTGATGGAGCTTCCTGCAAAATTGAACATTAATTTATTTTGCTCCTCAAATTTTATATTTGATCCATAAATGAAACCATCGTCAAAATACTTAGATCTTTTGATTTTCTACAAGACTTTTTACTTCTGCTGTGTATGCAGAAGTGATTCAGGAATTTTAATTTTAAGAAAAGATAAAGAGTGCTAAAATAGCTCAATAAGAGAATTTAATTTTTAAGAAGGATTAAACAATCATTTACTTGTAGAAGACTAATATCATATGTCCTGACAATGGCACGCATTAAGTCAACAGCAGCGCGTCGTACTATTTCCGCCTCAGCATCACGTATATATAATTTAGCTGCTAGCAACATCTGAAATAACATTTAAATCAGTGATGAAAAATATTGGAAATTCAGAGGATTAAATGATCTACCATGATCACCAGGACACTATAAGCAAATCAGAAATAACCATATAACAACTGCTAAATATGCCATATATATATATATTGAAAAAAAAAAAAAACTAAGAAATGAGTCGTGAAGAGTTAGCCTAAAACAAGCAAGAGTAGGTTCGGTAACAATATAAAGTCGCATTTTAATAATATATTGTCGTAATGATAATCAAACAAAACCCTCTAGCTCACATCTTAATGTAAAATTAATTTTCAATAAATGAAAATTTCATGCTTCGAATACCTCATCAAGATGTTTGTGTATATTCAATCCACGGCAGGAAACGATAAGATTGGATAACGAAGAGAGTACGGAAGCTCGCAACATATCATCTTTAGTATGAAGCATCAACGACAACATCGGATTTACCATACGGTCAAAATAAGCTGGTGCCATTTCACCTAAAAAATTAAAACCTTTTCTTTTTCTAAAAGAAAGTCATTTGTTGTCGAATAAATCCGTTGGTACACATATTATTAACTCATTAAAATTTTAACTGCAGAAGTCTTGTATTTTACTTATTGCGTGTGTCCATAACATATACATTCTATTCACTATCGTATTTTTTATGCATTTAGTATGTATTTCTTATTGCATTATATACAGCATAGTTAATTTGCACTGCATGATATATATGGTATATAGTTAATTAAATTGTATCATTAGCAATAAATTGAACTGTTCAAGAATTATATGATGTGACAAACAGACAGATTCATGGAATAACGACTGGACCTACCAAGATTTTTATTTGCTTTCGCAATTGCTTCTCCGATTTTAACTCTTTGTATCAGTAAATATGTTTCTTTTTCGTCTTCTCGTAGGTTGTCCACTGGAAATATTTCAGTTATTAATAATTAGATATTTATTAAAACGAGAAAAAAATCTTGGAACAGAAATAGAAAAGCACTGGGCGGAAATTCGAAAGCAAAAATACAAAGCATTCACAATTGCCGTTCTAGTTTTCGAGTTACATAAAATACATCAAATAGTATCAAATGAATATTTTTAGAATAAAATTATGTGATCAACATGCTAAAAGTAGGGTTTAAAAAATCACTGCTGAATTCGAGAATGGACTTCAGCTTTTCTGCCGGGTCCAAAAAGAATTCCACCATTTCATCGAAAAACTGTTGCTTCCAATATGCTAACTCCGCCAATGCATTTATTGCTGCCAAATAAACGTAAGAATCATTATCAGCAACTTGTTCTGAAAATTTTATCTAATTTTTAACTTTTTCGAAACCAATTCATCTCCTTCACAATAATCAGCAAAGATATTTTAAAAAAAGATGCGAGAACTTTGAATCGTAAAAAATCAAATTAGAAGAAAATAAACCATATAACTGATTATCAAGAATTAACACTGCAAACCGAAAAGTTATATAACGACTACAGAGCAACCAAATAGTCTCTGAATTATGACTGAAACTATGATTATACCGGTAAATATAAATGCATACCTATTACTGCAAGCAATAACGTCGTAAATTATGCAAAAATATAAAAAAATAAGTTAAGGAGCTGCAGAAATTAACCTAGAACAATGCGCATAATTGCGGGATAAGTAGTAATGTCATCCAGAAGCTGTCTGTTTTTTCGTCGAATACCCCTTGCTAACTTAATTAGAGCATGCCCACGGACGGATTCTGATTCATCCAAAAGATCGGATTGGATCTGTTCCAAAGAGAAAGATTCTGAACCTCGACCATTAATCGGGTTGTCGCCAATACTTGGTGATTCATCAATGAAACTAAGACTTTCACACATATATTTCAATAAAAAGAATTAATAATCCCAAGCTTCATAAATGCGCATGAAAATAAAAGACTAATCAAAAGTCATTAAGCAGTGACCTAAATTTGAACTCCCTCTGTCTGTCCCAAATTTATATCACTGCTTAATAAACAAAGTTGGACATATAAAATTTAGAAAACAAATGCTGCAGCAAAGTGAAAAATGACAACTTACCTAGGAGCCGCGTC